TATATATATATATATATATGAAAAATGGGAATGCCATGTAGAAATTTTCTGCTATAAATTAAACTTATGGGGCTGTATGGCCCAGGCTGGCCTTGGACTTTGATCCTCTTGTCTCCACCTCCCATATGCTGGGATTACAGGCCTGGACCACCACACTAGTGGTTTTATGTGCTGCCTGGGTTTGAACCCAAGACTTTGTGCTGCTAAGCAATATCCTAGCCCCTAAGACTACACTTCTTGGTAAATATGGTCCTTTCTTATTTTTAATAAGTATTCTTATTTAAAGGTATCCCACACGCATACACTTGCTGTTTCACAACAAACGCTGTCCTTACTTTCTGCTGCATCGTTCATCTCATCGATCTCTGTCCTGTCCCAGATTGTAGGTTCCTGTTATGCCTTGAATGTTGTTCTAGGTCTCATCATAGAGAATCAAATGCTTTAGTACATAATTGTTTGCATGACACTGGATAACAGTGATAAATACCCATAGATTAAGCTTTACATAACGGGCAAAATCTTTAGCCCCAGTGTGAGTAGTTAATAACATATTTCCATGTGTAACAGCTATGCCTAATGGACACTTGACCAAAAGATCTTTCTAAACACAATCTCCAGCAATGGGAATGTTAAACTTTTCATGTATCTATTTATCATTGGTCATTGTGTCATCAATATTTTCTGATTTTTTTTCAAAAACAAAAAATGTTTTATTGTAACCCCTGGAAAGTAAATTGAGAATGTTATATATTGTAATACTAGGGGGCAAAGCCAGGTCCTTGAACATACTGGACAAACTCAGCCACTAACCCTTACATCATCCCCAAGCCCAAAAAATGTTTTGCTGTATGCTGTCATCAGTTTAATTTGCAGGAGAGTCTATTTCAGGGCCAAATTTCTTTCAGTACATTACAGCTTTGTAGGAAACATGGCTTAAGAATGCCCTTGAGTCAGTTAGTACTTCTGCATCAACTAGACAAATGTGTCCGAGTCCATAGCCTTAGAACAGTTCTTTGTATTATTAAAGCTTAAACCTTGGTCCCTTGGTTTTGGAAAAACCCAGACTTGGATTTGTTGGTACCAGCTAAAACAATGTATTCCATAGTCATAGTTAAGTTTACTTACCTTACTGAAAGGTGGGAAAAACCTTGCACCCCTGATGGCTAAGGAATCTTGTACCTTCACAGTTAAGTTTCTCTCTTTCAAGTAGAGATCTGCTGCAAATGTGTGTCCTTGTCAGTTTTCCTGGGAAACAGACACTGGGTTCTCTGTGGAACTGTGCCTGACCACTGTGCTCTCTGGCTGTGGTTTCTGCAGGTGAAAGTCTGTACTCTTGATGCTCACAGCCCTTTCTCCCTCTCAGTAGTGCCCGCTGGCAATGTTGCTTGCCAAGACCTCTGATTTTCTAAGGAATTTGCTCTTTCTGCAATTAGTCAGAAAAAGAAAGGCACTTTTCTTTCCAGACTCTTGCTCTCACTGCCTCTGGAGCACTCTGTTAGCCTGCTTACCAGGCTTGTTTAAAAGGTGTAAGTGGGAGGTTAGTGGAAGGCTTGACGCCGGACCCTGCTGCTCTAAGAGAATAAATTTTGATTCCTTCCCGTTTTTTGTTAAAGTTAAGAATCTTGAGCATAATGGCTCTGAGTCTCTCGGAGTCAGTGCCTGGAAAGGTTTTGTTCTGCACAATGGTTAGCCTCGAAGCTAAAGTTAGAAACAAATTGTAAATGCGTTCAAGCTGCTGAGCCTGTTGGTAGCCCTGGGATATTGACTCTCATCACTGGCTGTCCAGGCAGCAGGAGAAGGGCTGGTGGGGAAACCATTCAAAACATTCATGCAAGGGTCTCATGTTCTGCAAGAGGGGGACTGGTGGGCTATTGCTGGCCTAGGATCACTATTTCATTTGCTCTTATTCTCAGCCATTTGGTTATTTTATCACCCAAGCTTGTGTCCCCAAATAAAAGCAATTTCATTTAAATCTAGAATCATGATACACTCATTTCCTATAATTTTTTCTTTATTGGTAATTTCTATGGGGTTTTATTTGTTTACTTGAAATCTATTTTGTCACAGATTTAATAAATGATATATTGTGTGATAATAGAAAGTAGATATCCGTGTCATGTTGTTTGGATCAGACTCAGAAACTTTAGTAGTAATTAGTGAAAATATTTTTTGTTCTTCAGCTCCCTCCCTGGGCCTGTGGATTCATAATGGATACAAATTCTGACCCAAAGAATTGCCCCTTTCAGCTTTGCTCTCCCATAAGACCTCCAAAATATTACACATATAAATTTGCAGAAGGCAAACTGTTTGAGGAAACTGGACATGAAGATCCGATTACAAAGACCAGTCGTGTTTTACGAATAGAAGCCAAAAGCAAGGTAGGTGTTGTAATCCCTGCCTTCAGCTCCCGGATACTGCAAGTGCACTGTGCCAGAGACCTTAGCATCAGGGCCGCATCATCACTATTGTTTGAAAATCCCTTATATTATAAAAGGTCCAGATGACTTTAGGAATACATAGATTTTTCCTCTTAATTTTAACATGCATGTTTTTATTTTAACATGGACTTAAAAATTTCAGACATGTATTCTAACCCCTCATCTCACTTTATTTATGTTTGAATTGTAAAGTCAAATTAATAAAAAGAGTAAATAGTCAAAGTTGGTATACAGCAACGGTAATAACTTTGAGAGTACGGTAAGCAGCTGATTAGAATAGACTAAAATAATACAGTCCTCGATGTTATGAGGCTTCACTATAGCAGGGACAATGCCAGAGGCTGGAGAAACGGCTACTGACAGACGCATTGATACCTACAACGGAGAGCATGCTGAATATTGGAAAGTGGTAAAGGGAACTTACCTAGTCTGGTGATACCCAAGAGGTCTTCTCTGAAGAAGTATTGTTTCAGGTAGCGCATCCATCTTAGTTAGGGCTTCTACTGCTGTGATAAAAACCCCTTGACCATAAACAACTTAGAAAAGACAGGATTGGTGTCAGCTAGAAAACCCATATTCTCTTCCTAACCCACATGTTGGCTTACAGTCATCTGTGACTCCAGCCACAGGGAATATGAACTTTATGCCAGTCTCCATGGGCACTGCATACATGCAGACAAAACACCCATACATATACAATAGATAATTTTAGTTAGATTGATAGTTATATAGGCCTTTGAAGAATGCAGATAGCCATTGGTATGGTGTGAGTAAGAGTTCATGTACTAATGCTGAGCAACCGGGGTAAAAAAAATAAAGCTGGTCGGATTTTTTAATCAGCAGATCTGTAAGTATTCAAAGATAAGAATTGTCAATATCTAGCCTTAGGCATAGAGAGTATGTTATACTAAAATTTCCAACCTAAAGAGGCATTTTGGCTTGACCCGAAAGAAATAAATTAACAGTGGGCAATGACGAGTGCTTTTCAAAGTTATTTTCCTGCTGTGAGAAACTGTGCCAATGTTCAAGCCAGTCCTACTGCTCTTTTCTGGCTAATGATAGACCAGAGGGTCGCTGAAACCCAGAGCTCTGTGCACAGATGTCATAACCTCGCAAAACTGATGTCCATTTCCGAAAGTCGCAATCCAGGGAGTGTGCCTCATGCCACTTTAAACTGGGGTTAAGTCACTTGAAAACTGCTTTCATGGGGGGCTGGCTCCATGGCAGAGCCTTTGTTTAGCAGACACCCTGGTCCCAAGCAAGCACTGCAGAGAAACAAACAGCCAAAATGTTTCCTTACATGCGAATGACTCTTCATTTGCAGGATGGAAAATTAGTGCCAATGACAATTTTTCACAAAATGGATTCTGAGGACTTGCAGAAGAAGCCCCTCTTGGTGCATGTGTATGGAGCTTATGGGATGGATTTGAAAATGAATTTCCGGCCTGAGAGGCGAGTCTTGGTAGATGATGGATGGATCTTAGCATATTGCCATGTTAGGTGAGTCAGCTCATTGCTCCTGGCAGATGACTGCCAGAACATTGTGATGACAACTACAATAACAATGTTAAGGGACCAAGCGTGGTGCCACATGCCTTTAATCCCAGAACTCAGGATGCAGAGAGAGGCAGACCTCTGTTGAAAGCTGTAATAGTGAGACCCTATCAGAAAACCAGAGCAAAAACCAGTATGCTGAGGGGCAAAAGCGCACTTCCCCATGTGGATTTTGGATTTATGTATCCCTAAGCCTGGCAGATCTTGATTCAGACAGCAGATTAGTCTGGTCCAGAGAACAGAAGAATAGTTTTTTAGGACCTTTGAGTAGATAGGGCAGTGTTTGCACTTAATTAGTTACACTATTATTCCCACATATTCTGAATTCAGGTTTCTTTCTTTGGAGTTTTTGAGGCAGGGTCTGTCTTTGTAGCCAGAAACTCATGACCCTCCAAGTGCTGTGACTCAGGTATGTGTGTCAATGAACTATTTTCCCCACAGAGTCTCTTTAAGCTGAACCTTTTTTGCCATCTAGTTCCCATTTTATTTTAGCTCTTTCCAGAACAAGCATTATCATTCTATTTCTGCTTAAAATCTTCTCCAACCTCCCTGTTTCCAGAACAAAGTCCAGATTTCTCAGTAAAATTCTCACGATCCGGCTTCTCTCTGCAGGGTATCCACTGGCCATGTGCCTTCGTGCCTTTGGGTGGCATGCTCTACCCCTCCGTGTCCTAGCACGTGCTGTGTTTTCGCTGGGTCTTAGTTTTCCACTCCTTACCCTTCCAGAAACCTGCTTCTGTCACAGCTCAGTTCAGTGTCATTTTTCACGTGTGTGCTCCTGACTCAGTGTCGTTTTTCACGTGTGTGTGCTCCTGACTTGTGCACCCTGCTTTCCTCTGCTCAGGCAAAGCTGAAACACTGGTGTTACAGCAGCAGCCATCGAGCCTGGTGACTGCTGCTGGCCTTCAGGCCACTATGAGCTTTCTGCTTCTCCACAGGCAATTCTGCTTGTGTGTACTTAATTTTTAGGGTCTGCCCTCAGACAGTCCATAGTAAGTAGTCAGTAGGCACTCGAACATAGTTGTTGAGTCAGTTTTTGATTATCTCAACATCTGCCAGCTTTTTTGTTTGTTTGTTTTTCCTGATGGACTCGGCAGGCCAGACAGTCTCCATTGCGTATTCCTTCTTGCTGTTTTCTCCCAGCCTTTAAGAGCACAGCAGCACTTCTGAGCTGAGTGCCGCAAACACGCCTGTGATAGTTTACTGACCTCTACTGTATGGTGTTTGTTTTCTTCCACTACAGGGGTGGTGGCGAGTTGGGCCTCCAGTGGCATGCTGATGGCTGCCTAACTAAAAAACTCAATGGCCTTGCTGACTTAGAGGCTTGCATTAAGACGCTTCATAGCCAAGGCTTCTCCCAGCCGAGCCTAACCACACTGAGCGCTTTCAGTGCTGGAGGGGTGCTTGTGGGAGCCCTGTGCAACTCCAAGCCAGAGCTCCTTCGAGCTGTGACTCTGGAGGTAAGTACTCGAAGCTTGCAACATGGGCAGCTGTGCCACTGTCCAAAGAGAGGAAAGCCATGTGTTTTAAGGTGTGGCAAGCTTTTAAGTTTAGACAGAACTGTGGCTCTAGTAGACTCTGTGAAATCGTCTGGACCCCACTGTGTATTGTTCCCTGACAACAATCTTTACAGAGTTTGTGGGATTTCCATTGAGGAACTAAATGGCTGTCCCCTGTGAGCCTTTTCTATTGGTCAGAACATTTAGAAAGCCAAAGCTATGTATGTGTGGAGTGTCCTGTGAGACTGGACACAGTGTGTCCTCTGACACCTCATCCATATGATATTTTATTTCTGGACATAGAGACTATTTTTAGATACCCCATTATTTTGTTTCTTTTATTTTTTTGCTATATAGCTAGTCAGTCTGGCCTCATACTTACAGTCCTCCTCCCTCGGCCTCCTAGGCATCAGGACTTTAAAAGCGTTCAGCACACTTGCTCACATTCACCGTTCTCGGTGCTCTATTGAGTGTAGTCATGAACTATGAGTGAACCATCAGTTCTGGAAATGCCCAGTAGTCTTTTCCTGTTCTTCAAATTGTGATGTTCGATATATTAGGACTTCAGGCTCCAGGTCCATCCTCTCCTATTCCCTACTAAGACACTCTGGAAAATAATGCCTGGGGCACTCTTTTCAGGGATGCATGTGGGGGGTGGGGGGGTGGGGTGTATGTGTGTGTCTCTGTGTGTGTGTATGTATCTGTCTGTGTCTGTGTGTGTGTCTGTGTGCCTGTGTGTGTGTGTCTGTCTGTGTGTCTGTGTCTGTGTGTATGTATTTGGAGCAAGAAGTAGTAAGTTAAATAAGTATTAAATAATTTGACCTGGAAATCTGCTTTTAAAAAAATATTCATTATAGAGGAAATAAACCTAGCCACAAAGATAATAACAGAATCACTGACAATGTAAATGCAGCTAACCTTGAATTTTAGAAATTAGAAATAACCAGAAATGCATATGTAAGGATATTTATTTCAGTTGCTTACTAATGAGAAGAATTAGGGACAGCCTAAACATCCAACACAGTATTCATATATAAGTCAAAGTCATTGATTATAAGCACCCAAAATTATAGTTAACTGAAGCAGAAAGGGTTTGCTGGAGCAGTAGGTAAGAGTAGGTGTGTTCAGGCCCAGTGCTAGAGGATGCACAGCCAGGACCAGAACTGGCCCAGTGCAGCTGCCACTGGCGCGAGCACAGAGCTCCTCACACTGCCATTGCTGCTTCTGAAAACCAGACAGATGTCACACATCACCTGGTAGAATCTCCACCGTTTGTGCAGTAGAGCTGGGCCCCTCCTGACATGGCTGGCAGTTTTGCATGTGCAGAAAAGTCACCCTGCTGGGCAGCCAGAAGAGCTCACAGCCCCTAGACTCTGTCATTGGTACTGTGAGAGAGAGCTGGAAAGCATATGCCCCGAAAAATAGAACTTTAGATGAAAAAAGCAATTTTCCATTAATTAAATGTTTCTTATTTAATTTTACCTTATGCGTGTGGGTGTTGTGCCTGCATGCGTGTCTGTGCGTCACATGCAGTCACCCTCAGAGGCCATAAAGGGTGTTGGGGTCTCAGAAACTGAGTTATGGACAGTTGTGAGCCATATGTGGGTGCTGGGAATTGAACCCAGGTCCTCTAGAAAAACAGCCGGTGCTCTTAACTGCTGAGCCATCGCTCTGCCCCTTATAAATGTTCCAGTAATAATGAAAGCCAGTAGATGTTTTTGAATTCTTTTATCTTAGATATTTTCTACATCTTATCTACATACTAATTTAGGAGCTTTATTGTAAAATTCCAACAGGTAGAGAAGGTTTGTATGCTGTTGGTGATTTTCTCACTTCTAATACCTTCTAGTCATTGTCATAAAGTAACACAATCATAACTATTCTTTTTTTTTTTTTTTTTTTTTTTGGTTTTTCGAGACAGGGTTTCTCTATATAGCTTTGGAGCCTATCCTGGCACTCACTCTGTAGACCAGGCTGGCCTCGAATTCACAGAGATCCACCTGCCTCTGCCTCCCAAGTGCTGGGATTAAAGGTGTGTGCCATCAATGCCTGGCTCATAACTATTCTTAGTGTAGGGTTCAGTAATGTTAAGACATTTACTGTATTATGCAGTCAGCCTCCAGATCTCAATTTGTATCTTTCAAAATTGAAACCCATACCATTGAACAGCTCTCTATTCCTGCCGAGCCCCTAGAAACCACCCTTCTGCCCTGTCTGCACGGTCACCTCATGTAAGCTGTGTCATGCCAGATTTACTCTTTGACAATGCTTATCCCAGGCAGCTGCCCTGACATTACATTGCAAGAGGTTCCAGGACTCTAGTCTGCATGCTCACACCACAGTTTGCTTAATACACTGCCCTAGTTCTACTTTAAGACCCTGTCTGCAGCTCCTGTGGGTGTATGTCTTGGAAGGAGTGGCCAAGTCAAAGGTAAATGTCACAATCATTCTTTGGAGGAACTACGCTTTTTGCCACAGTGACCACAACCATTTACACTCTAGTCCACAGTGTGACAGTGGTACAGTTTCTCTGCATCATTGCCAACTTGAAATGGCCTGGTTATTGTGGGATTGTTTTAATACAGTAGCCATCCCAATGCATGCAGAGCTGCATTTGTTACGTTCTAGTAGAACTAGAAAAGGCACCAAGCTAAAAACAAAACTTGTGAAATTGGGAGGTCATATCTTCCTTGTTCTGTAAATGTCAGTTATTGAGTTTGAATGCCCGGCAGGCAGCTGGGAGCAACCAGCTATAGTTCAGACTGAACTGCATTTTCACACCTGGGTGTGTGTCTTTGCAGTAGACTATTGTAAGGTTCCCTTTATCAACTTTGGAATTGATACACAGGTTTGGCTTTTTTTTCTTTGACTAGGCACCTTTCTTGGATGTCCTCAACACCATGATGGACACCACACTTCCCCTGACACTAGAAGAGTTAGAAGAATGGGGGAACCCCTCGTCTGATGAAAAACACAAGAACTACATAAAACGCTACTGTCCCTGTCAAAACATCAAACCTCAGGTAGGAAGACACAGTTGTGACCCACTGTCCTGAAGCAATAGAGGAGACAAGTGAAAGGCAGTCACTGAGCTGAGGGGAAGGTTAAGAGGGCTCTCAGAGCTGTTTCTGCTTCTGCTACTGAGACATCCTTTGGTGTCATGTCTGCTCATACGCCATGTTTGCCTCAGGTTAACACCTCAGGAGAACAGCGTTCTCATCCCCTGACCCAGTCTAACATGATTAGATGAAGCCGTGATCTCTCTGGACAGGAAACGGCTAGCCCAGGTAAAGGGTAGCCTGGCACATAGGACTAAGAGTATCACATGAGAACACTCTCCTAGCATTTGGGGAGCACAATGAAAGGAATCACGGGGTGATGTAAACTCTATGTATCTGTTCTCTTTTAGCATTATCCCTCAATTCACATAACAGCTTATGAAAATGATGAGCGGGTACCCCTAAAAGGAATTGTAAACTATACTGAGAAACTTAAGGAAGCCATCGCGGAGCATACTAAGGACGCGGGAGAAGGTAGGAAGCTGCCTGATGAGGGGACCTGGCTAACAGGACTGCCCTCAGCCAGCAGCATACCTCATGTACAGACCAAACCATCTCCCTGGAA